GAGTTCTCAGCCCTGGCTGCTGACTGTCATCACTGGGAGAACTTTAAATATGCTGATGCCTTTATGCTAAATGAAATAAGTCAGACAGAAAAAGACAAATACTGTATAATTTCACTTATATGTGAAATTTAAAACTGAACTCAAAGAAATAGAGCAGATTGGTGGTTGAGGGAAGGCAAATGAAGGTGATCAAAGGATATGAACTTCCAGTTACAAGACAAGTAAGTTCTAGGGATGTAATGTATAGCATGGTGATTATAGTTAACAATACTTACTGTATTATCTATCTGAAAGTTGCTAAGACAGCAGATCTTAAAAGTTTTCAATATACTCACACATCATAACTATGTGAAGTGATAGACAAGGTGTTAACTGACCTTGCAGTGGTAATCACTTCACAATATAAACATTTACCAGATATTCATATTGTACACCTTAAACTTATAGTGCTATATATATGTCAATTATATTGCCAAAAAGCTGGGGGGGGGGGGTGTGCTGATACCTGGGTCATACCCAGAGATTCTTATATAATTGGTCTGGAGTGGGGCCTGGGCATCCAAAATTTTAAATGCTCCCCAGATGATTTATATATATATATATATATATATATATATATATATATATATGGCCAGATTGAAAACTGCATGGATTTTACCTACCTCATTTGCATTTACTAAACTGAAAATAGGCAGTTATCACCTGATTACTCCGTCTCAGTTGTTTTGTTATCAATGTATTATTGAGTCTCCTAAAATATTACCAGATTATAAAAGTGGGGATGTAGGACTTTTAGCCACTTCATATTCAATCTAAGAAAAAGGCTGCAGTATTCCCAGTGTAGGTTTCTGGTCTTATCATCTACCATGAGACCCCAACTGTTTAAATTAATATTAAATTTTTCCCAAGTAATACAATCCCCAATAGGTTAAGAACCCTCAAAAATTATAAGAAAAACAAATGTGGCAGGAAAACATGCAGAGAACATGAATGGACTGTTTACCAAAAGGATATAAATGGCCAAACATGATTTTTCAATTTCACTCATGATCAAAGAAATGCAAATTAAGATACAATTCTTCCATCAAATCAGCAATTTTTAAAAAAACACTCAATAGCAAGAATGTAATACAATAAATATTTAAGCTCCTAGATGGAATAAACTTAGTATATTCTTTAAAAGCAATCTGGCAGTATGCATCAATAGCCTTAAAGTGTTCATACCCTTTTTAATAAGAGCAAAAACTAAAAACAGCCCGAAGAAACATCGTTAGGAAAGTTCTCTTAGCTAAATTATTTTTTAAATATATTTTAGAGAGAATATTGTTTTTGTTAAATGCTCAAATTGCAATTAAGAGGGAAAGGAAAAAGAATTATTATGTATACATAATATATTAATTTTTGTTATATATTACAGAAGGCAGCATACTCAATGTTAACAAAAGCAGGATTATGAATGTTTTAATCTGCTTCACAGTTTTCCAGTTTCAAAAAGTCTACAAAGGATTTACTTCAAAAACTTTTGTTTTTAAATTTCCAAGCAAGAGTTAATTGATCAAGCATAAGTCTCAACCTCAGAAGAACTGTGAGGTAAAATGACAGCTTATCATGATGCATTTCAGTGTACAAATGTGTATGGTGAATAATGGGTGGTGAGATCCTGGTTTCAATGGGGCTAAGCTGTTCTGTCCTAATCACAGTTTTAGAATTCAGGTGATCTCAGACAGCTGTCTTCAACAGCCTCCCTGACATGCTCCAAAATAGACCAATTAGATTTTCTAAATGCAAACCAGACAAGGCAACTGACCCTTACCTACCAAGGTGGGTACTATTTTTGGAACCGCAGTCTAAGTAGGCATTTATATGGTGACTATTAAACCAAACAAAAGCAGGTTATTTTAGCCAAGACAAAGTGAAGCAACCCTATGGTTTTAATCTAGGGTAAATATTTATGAAAAATAACAGTTACTGAAAAAACTTCTCCTCACTGCCATGTACACTGATGATGAACATAAGTTAGTCTGTTCAGAGAATTTTTTGAACTGAATGAAGTCTGATGTCCATTATTCATAGTCACAAATCAAGATTTTCTGCAAAAGCAGAATTTACAGATCTAGTCTCAACTTAAAGTGATTTTACAGAGAGAAATACCTACCACCACCACCACCCTCCCCGGAGAAAAAAATGTTCTTGTAAAACTGCTGAGTGATTAATAGTATTTTAAAAATCATCAATAAAAATAAATGAGACATTTGATAACAGCCTTGAACACTCAAGACCACCACACAGTATTTTTATATTAATATGTGCTACAAAATACTCTATTTTCGCTCATCGCCAAATCCTCAAATGAAAGAACTGCCAAAATTATCTTGGTATGATACCTCCAAACAGATTCATTCTTAAAACAGTAATATAGTTTCAAAAACTTCAAGAGAATGATCCAGTGTGCATACTAAGCTACCCGCTAGTTAACTGTGAACTAAAAAAAAGGTTTTCATAAACACCTGTTGTCCAAATCCTAAGCTCAATTATTAAGCATTATCATGCACTATATATTACTTATTTTTACTCTTAAAAAAAAAAACACATTAATTGTTAAATTTGGCATAAGGGAACATTTAGCATAATTCCTTCAACATTTAAGCTGCTGCCCAACAAAAGCTTCTAAATGAAGCATTTTATGAATTATTAAATTACCTTGATAAAGCAAGAATCTCAGTTTTTACTTTTCCTCTTGGTTTCCATTCTGTGTAAACAGCTGGATTCAAATTACAACATCTAAGAGATTCTGTTAGGCATGTCCAGTTTAAGGTTCACCTGAATGTCCATGTTGTTGCAGTCAAGTCAGTTCAAAATTTATCCCATTCTTTATAATTTACACAACTTTTCAACTGCCCTATTAAAAGGCTGAGTATATCCCCCTTCTCCAGTCATGTGACTGAGGAAACGGTACAAATTATTATATCAAAAATACACAATGCCACAATTTCTCTGGGGTAACAATATGGTCAGTTGAAATGATATTTCAACTTAATATTTAAATTTAGGCTGTTCTATCTTTGCTGCTTTGCATAATTCTAGAAAGACCATTCATATTTGTCTTACGTGAACAGCACCTCCTGAAACTGCAGAGCACAACCTAGGCAGTCATATACATGCAGCGACCCTGCACCTTACCTATACCATTTGATTCTCCATGATTACCTTAGAAAACTCGACGTATTTTCAAAAGCCAAAACTTACTAAATGGTGTGAATAACAGAAACTAACTTATAGATCCAGATAATTTACTTTGAGGTTTTGGTTAGTATACAATTCAGAATAGACAAGAAACAAACCTATGATGTTGAGGTTTTAAACACTGATCAAAGTAGTCAAAGAGTAAAGAGGTTTGGAAAATATGAACAAAGCACACCTAACCTATGTAAACCAAACAGAGAGACTACCCATGAAGATATTTCTCATGCTACCTCTACAATAAGGTCTATCTTCAAAGAGATTTTTGTTCATCCACCTTCTTCTCCCTTCCCATAAAAAGGCAAAGTATTGGGGTAGTTACATCAAATTTTGTTTAGTGAGTGAAATCAAGCACTGTATCAAGAGATCCATCATGATCTTGATTAACAGATTAGTGCAAAACATAAGAATGCATGAACAATTTTACAGGCATTAAAAGCTTTCTTAAAAAATGAGTGCAAAACTGAAATATACCTAGAACCTGCTTTAGAACAACCTCAAAGTCTGCTTCTCTCATGCATTCAACTGATGAACTTCAATTAAATCCCCTCCCCATTAATTTTAACACAAAGAACTACCATAGGAATTCAATAGCTATTAAAATAGTAAGCATTTCTAATGACTGTAAAACTATTTAATATGCCATATGAATGAGACTTTATTATAAATTGAATACCTATAAAGTGCTTTAAAACCAATCATTCTTGTTGAGTTTATATAAGTTTGGTTAGCTACAGGTTTAATTAACCAATATTTTTTCTTCAAATGTTCTTCATATATCAGCAATATGTTGTTTTTATGTGTAAAAACAAACAAACAAAAACCTTTCAGGAAACTAAGAGGAAAAACATGGTCACCCATAAAACTTTGAAAACCAAAACTTCCCCCTTTAATGTAGTAAACAATGCTGTCATGTAGTTTACAGAATGTTCCCAATCATAAGAGTCTCTTTAATAAATGAGAACTCACCAATTAAAAACAATTCAGACCTCATCTTTCTTCTACTAACAGATCTCAAGACTGCCTTTGTAGTGCATAGTACCAGGTATGATAATATGGAGAAATCAGGTATGTCAAACGTAATAAATTAAACCCTTATACCAGTGAAAAGCTGAACAAGCAGATTTCTATCAAATTTTTTAAAGTTTCAGAGAGTAAGGGGGAAATTTTGCAAAAAAGCATTCTTTTCAGTGAGAGTGACAACTTAGAAAAGAAAAATGTGCAAGAAGAATAACTAGCTTATCATGCACTGAAAGAGGAAAAACACATAAAACTACTGTTTTAGGAGAAACAGTTATTAGAAAATTTTAACGAAAGATAAAACATGTTATTTCAGACACCATGAGCTCGAGTGCAGTGGCTATATAATAAAGCAATGTGCCTATTCCTGAGGATAATGTACTTAGTAATAATGCTGAGCAGTGAGTATTAAACCTAAGCAGTGCTAAAAAAAGGCAATGATGGAAGTTCAGGTAATGTGTTACAGAGAAAGAGACACGAGAAAGAAATTCCATTACTTAAAAATAATCTTGTCCCTATCATTAACCATTTAAATATTTTTTGCTAATGTGCTAAAGTGCACTGAAAACCTCAGAACAGGTTTTTTAAATTGGCCATGTCTTGTTAATACACTGCAGTCTTCAAATTTACACAGAGCTGCAGGTCTCCTGGATTTTTTCAAGTGTCACTCATTTAACTGAGCCTGACAGCTGAGAAACGCCATCAGGTGCTCTACAGTCAGTTTAAAAAACATCCTCTACCTGGTATTTCTGCAGTGATTGTCTTGCTGCTCCCTGAAACCTCTTCATCATCATCTGATGAGCTTGTACTTGAGTCACAAGTCAGGTCACTATCACTGGTACTACTGTCCTGCAACAGGTTATATTTCTTACGCGCAGCAGCCTCCCGTTTCTGCCTCAGTAGCCTGATTCTCTCCTTTTGCTTTTGGCTCCGGTGACCTTTCACCTTGGCAACTCGGCCATTCTGTTTATCACTGGACTGCCGGTTTTTCTTGGCAGCCATAGTGGATGTTTCACTTTCAGATCGGGACCGCCGAGACTTGCGCCCAATTGTGGCACCAGACACCCCGGAAGGGTCTCCTTCTACAGCTGTTTCTGCCTGGGACGGTTCATTCTCTTCTGCAGAAGACAACGTATCTGAATCAGCCAGGTGACCACTAGAGGAAGGGGAAAGCATGCAGTGATTAGAGGAGTCACTCTCATAAACTCGACCAGTTGTTGGCTTGTCGCTCTCTGTGGATGCTAACTGAGACTCAGAAGAGTCCCTTCTCAGTTCCATCAACAAGCAGGGCATTGAAGAAAGAACTGTAGAATCTACTACACCATCTTTCTGAACTTGAGATTCCAGTTCTACAGATCCATCTTCCTCCTTAGTTGTCTCTTGTTTGGATGTTTTTGGTGGGACTTCGGACTCAATGAGTTCTTCGACTTTTCCCACTGCCTCCTCCATCTTCATTTCACACTCTTGAGTTAATCATGGAGCAAGGTCTAGGAAACTACGTCAAAGATGCAACAGGAAAGCAACCTGGATAAAAATACATAAAATCAATAAAGAGAAATGGCAAATTATTTAATTAACACAACATGCCCACCTTTCTAAGTGGGTAGCAAAAGTTACCATCATATAGGCTTTTAAAATACATGTTATCACCCTGGCCAGTTTGGCTTAGGGGTTAGAGTGTCGGCCTGCAGACCAGAGTCCCGGGTTCACTTCCCACTAAGGGCACGTACCTAGGTTGCAGTTCGTCCCCAGCCCCAGTTGGGGCTATGTGGGTGGCAACCTGTCAATGTGTCTCTCTTACATCGATGTTTCTCTCTCTTTTCCTCCCTCTCTCTCCCCTACTCTATCTGAAGATAAATGCAAAAATGTCCTCGGTGAGAATTAAAAAATAAAATAAAATAAATGGTATCTTCATATACTCAACAGTCAAATTCAAAGGACTTATTACTATTAAAATACTAGCACATACAGCTACCAAAAATGGCACAATATTAATTCTCTATTCCTGAACTTGCAAGGCCAGCAAGCATCCAAACAAGGATTTTCAACTTTATTTATTTATTTGGTATGTTCCCCTAGCGGGAACCAAACCCAGGACTCTCTGGTCCACAGGCCAATGCTCTAACCGCTGAGCCAAACCGGCCAGGGAGGAATTTTCAACTTTAAAACTTAATTTAATGTGTTTAAGAAAGAGATCCTCAAAATTCTGATATAGTTAATATGTACACTTTGACTTTAATATAAATGAAAAAGAATGCTTAAAAAACTGGTCTAGAAAACAAGTTAAATGAAATGATTACTTTTACACTCAAATCATCAAAGAAAGACAAAGGGGGTAGATACAGTGAAGTAGCATCCAATGTGCCCTTGTGTTTAAAAAACAAAAAAACCTTCAACTAGGTGCATTTTGCAAATGCGTGACCAAAGTAATTATATGCATCAAACATGTCTGCCATTCCTCTCAATAGGAGTTACTCTTAGAGGGCATTAAGATGAAAGGCCCAACTCTGCTATTTCCTCACTACTCCTAGTTCCCACAGACCTCTCATCATGCTGAATGTAAGTCTAGTGTTTAAACATGTTTTATTTACTAAACAACAGCCACTAAATACTGATCAACTACTTTGTAAATACAGAAAATCTAGTGCACTCTATTCCAAGAATGTCTTAAGGGGTTTAAGAGACAACACTCTATACACATTTTCCACCTTATATACTAACATTAAAACCTAACACTCCTAACCCACTGTGTGTGCTACAATTCCACTTAATCATGCAGAACAGGGCATAATCTTTAGCCCACAGGAGTTGTGACTTACACAGTGCAAATTCCATTAACTGATAGTTTTTAAGAGGATGCTAAGAATGTACAAAGCAAGTAAATACCTCACCCTATACATGTGATGTTAGGGCAATCATCATGACGTCCCATAGGTCACACACACCTATTAAGCTAGACAGTATACTTAGTCAGGTGCAATAAGACATCTCCATCAGCCAGGCCGGGTAGTTCAGTTGGTTAGAGCATTGTCCCAATACACCAAGATTTCCGGTTCAATCCCCAGTCAGGGCACATACAAGAATCAACCAGTGAATGCATAAATAAGGGGAACAAGAAATCGATGTCTTTCTCTCTCTCTCTCTCTCAAATCAATCGATAAATGTCTTTTAAAAAGACATCTCTACCACTTTACTCCTGGTTATTTGATAGTTAAATATATGGTAGGCAGCAACTAGAAAATATCTGAAAAATCCTTTTATTAATTTAATATGCCACGCCTACCTTTTGTTTAGTATAAACATAAATTCTCTATATACCTGGGGTTTTTTTGTTTTTTTTTCATGGCCCTCTTCTCAGCTGCTAATAAAACAGGCTATTCGGATGGAGTTTCCTTAACAAGTTCATGAAAAACAAAACATTCACAGCCCCTAGAAACATTTATCAATTTAAAACAATCCCATGTGGCCCTGGCCAGTTTAGCTCAGTGATTAGTCGGCCCTCAGACCAAAGAGTCACGAGTTCTATTCTGATCAAGGGCACATATATCAATCAGCCCTGGTCGGGGTCGTGCAGGAAGCAACCAGTCAATGTGTCTCTCACATCAGTGCTTCTCTCTCTCTCTCTCTCTCTCCCCCCTCCCCCCCTGCACCCACTCTATCTGAACATAAATGGAAAAATATCCTCTGATGAGAATAAAAAATAAAAAATAAAAATCCCATGTGTAACCTATTTCATAAGCATATTTACATCATTATTAATTTTTAAATTAAATAAAAACAAGCATAAAAGCTATTCCTAACATTATTACAAAAGGAATGTTACATCTCTGAAAGTCAACAGGGGTAAAAGTTAAACCAATAAACTGTCAGTGTCACAAATGAAGCATGCTGGCAACACAAACAGGAAATAAAATATTCATAGATATGAAATACCCATGGGTATGAGGAATAAACCAAGATTTTCTAACTGAATTAAAATGAGAATTAATTCTTCTGTAGAGAATGAACTTATGTATTCTGGACTCAAGCTGCTTCTTAAAGCTGAAATATCTAAGAAATGTATGAAATTAACATCAGCCATAAAGCACAAGTGTCAAGTCTCATTTAATGTCTGAAAGCAGAAGGTGCAGGAGTTTATTCAAACTACATAATATAGGGTTGAAAACTAAACTTATTAAAATGACCACAAAATTCATTTCTTCTGTAAATAAATTGCATAGGTAACACAAATGAATCTAGACTGTTTTTCCTTGCAACAAACCATGACATTATTAATGTCTTTCAATGACACACCAATCAAATAATTATCTTGCATTTCACATTTCTCCAATTTAAGTGTTTAAAATGTATAATGACTTCTGCTGCCAAAAAAAAACACTTAAATAAGTCCAAATCAATTATAAATCATAAATAGGGCACAAATAATTAGTTTATCATGGTTTATCAATACAATGAGACCACAAAGAATGAAAAGATTCTCTATATAATAATATGGAGCAATTTTCAATACATAATGTTAAATAAACAAAAATGGCACACTAGCCCAGCCAGTGTGGCTCAGTGGTTGAGTGTTGTTCCATGCACCAAGAGGTCACTGGTTTGATTCCCAGGTTGTGGGCAAAATCCTCAGTGGGGGGCATGCAGAAGGTGGCTAACTGATGTTTTGTCTTATTGATGGTACTCTCTCTACCTCCCTCTCCCTTACTCTCTCTCTAAAATCAATAATGAAAAAAAATTTAAAAAGGTCCATTATACCATTTGTGTAAATAAGGAACAAAATTATATGTAAGTCTGGCTGTAGATGCACAGTCTCTCTGGGAGGATACTTAAGAAAACACTAACACAAGCTGCTTTGGCAACAAAAGAGAATAAATGAGGAAACAGGAGTCAAAGAATTCTTACTGTATATAGTTCTGTACCCTTCAATTTTATATCATGTACAAGTATTATCTATTAAAAATCCACTCTAACATAATAATCTATTGAAAAATCTTCCAAAGTAAAAGGAGTTATGCTTCTGCTCGTGACACCAAATACTAGTCAGGTCAAATGTGGTCCGTGAATTCTATAAGAATTTCCCTCTATAGTGGAATTTTGTTATAATTCATAAAACACAAGGGAAAAAAGTCATAGGAAGTAGAAATACAAGCTCTGACATCACTCCCTGCAGTGAAATAAAAATAAAGTGCCCCATACACAGGGGGGAAAGATGTCCTATATACAGATTAATCTTCCCAATCAGATTATTTTTTGCATATATTGTTTTTGGTGGGGGGGGGGTAGTTCTGGTAGAGGTAGTCAAAAGTAGATGGCAATAAAGAATGATAAAATTATCAAATGGCATTTTATTAATGGGATAAAAGACCCTTAACCCTCTGGTTTATTGTTCATGGAAAATTTACTATGAAATAGGATTAAAATAATACTTCCCCCAGTGCTATTCTTCCCTCCAGTCTGAAGGTAATCCTCTTCTATATAGATATGATACGATATGAGATATGATATGATATGACATGACCTGACATGACATGATATGATAATCATTCTCCTCTCACCTCCCTAGAACCTTAGTGATTACTCCTTGGCACTCATCAATATCTCACACTCAACTGGACATCCATCCATTCATTCATCTGTTTATTCATTTTTAAAAATCCTCCTTCTGCATACCATCCCAACCTCCCCTCTCCCCCTTCAGGGACCACTCTTCTTTCAAAGCCAAGCTTATTAAGAGAGTTGTCTAAACACCCTACATCTATTTCTTTACCTCTCACATTCCCTCTTCAACCCAGTCCCATCTGATATCTGCTTCTATAAAACCAGTAGAACAGCCTGGCTGGTGTGGCTCAGTGGACTGAACATCGTCCCATGGACTGAGAGGTTCTGATTTGATTCCCAATCAGGGCACATGCCCAGGTTGAGGGCTCGATTTCCATTGGGGGGCATGCAGGGGGTGGCCAACTGATGTACTCTCTCTCATCGATGTTTCTATCTCTCTCTAAAAAAAAAAAAAAAAAATCAATAAAAACATACTTAAAACCAGTAGAACAGTTCTTACCAGGGTCACTAAAGATCCCCATATCTCTAAATCCAAGACACAGTTTGGTCTTCATCTTACTTAATGTCTAAGCAGTATTCTAGGCCTAACCAGACTCCCTCACCTCCTTGAACTTTCTTTGGCTCCCAGGTCTCCTACTCTTCTTGCTGTTCCGCAGCCTACTGTGTAGGCTTAACTTCCTCTACCAAATCTCAGTAGTTAATCCTAAGGCTAGGTCCTTTACTTACCCACCCAAGTGACCTCTTCTACACCTAGTTTCCAATACCATCCCTATATTAGTAATTTTGTTACTCCATCTTACACCTCTGAGCTCTATACTAGTCCATCCAAATAGCCACCTGACATCTTTATTTAGATTTCCAAGGGCACCACAATCTCTTCATGTCTAAAACAAAACTAGTTACCTGACTCCTCCTTAACTTCCCTAGCTCAATAAATACCACCACTATTATCTCAATTGCTCTAG